CTTGGCTTTGGTGGGACTTTGTTACCGACTTTCATATCCGCTGCTCTATGAAACAGAAAAGATACAGCAAAGAATGTGCCGAGGATGTCATGAAATCTCTAGGTCACTGCCTAAAGCTTCTTTATATCCCGTCCCTACTTGCGTATGCCTTCTAATATCTCCAATCTCATCAATGCAGGTCTACCCATCGAGAAGATTAAGAAATGTATGGGCGATCCCGAAGCTGATGTGGAGAATGCAGTTCTAAAAAATGAGCAAGTAGTGCAGGTCATACTTTTTGTGCCCGTATGACATTTTAGAGTACACTTGGCTGATCAATTCAATTCAGATTACATGACTCCTTTGTATTATCTGATCCATTCATTATCAATTCTGCATTCCTAACATTCAGGTCGGCCGAGGATCTCGTGGTGATGTTACCATCTTGCCAACATTGGTTGTTAACAATGTCCAGTATCGAGGTTTGTTCCAAGCAGCTCTATATAATAATAGTCTTCTCCCATTGACTAGGTGTTAATTGCGTTACCTTTTATATTTGATAGTGCAAATTGGGGTGACCTTAATGACCAAATTCTACAATCCAAAGTTCAGATTTTTTTTAAGCCTTTTGGATTTGAACTAAGAACACAGTTATACATCTCCTGCTGATTTTATTATATTCATTATTGGGCCTCGTACTCTCACTCACTTTATTAGCATTGTACATCAACATTGATATATGAGGAACAAGGTTTTTCTTTTCTTTAGGCAAAGGAGCATGTCGCCGTTGTATTCTTGGGAATAACTTGCAGATTTGAAAACTTAAACATAAGAAGATTATCTTGGCGATTAAATATACTTCCAAGCTTAAAATTACCAGCCTGAATCATTGCCCTTACTTGCCATCTTTTGATAATATCTTTCCCAATTTGTATATGATATGAGGATGCTGAAGTTCTTAATGTTGCTTGCGTTTAAGGAAAATTGGAGAGGACATCTGTGCTAAAGGCAATATGTGCTGGATTTAAGGAGACAACAGAACCTCCAGTCTGTCTGAATGCAGGTCGATCTTCTTATTTTATTTCCATCTCTTAACTTTCTTCTTTTCTTTTCTTATCATATTATTTATTTATTTTTTTTATTTTGCTGAAGCTTTCTTCTTTTCTTTTCCCACCACACATTTTTAAAAGTGTATGATATCTTTCCCTTGTTCATTTTACTTAAAACAGATATCGAGACAAACGAGTGCCTCGAAAGGAATGGTGGCTGTTGGAAACATAAACATTCTAATATTACTGCTTGCAAGGTACAAAGAACAGATTTGATTATTGCACTATACAGCAAATTTCTGTTTGGACTTGTTAAATTTTGGCTGTGTATTTTATTTTAATTTTTGTCTTTTTTCTTTGTTGCTCAGGACACATTTCGGGGAAGAGTTTGTGAGTGCCCTGTTGTAAATGGAGTTCAGTATAGAGGCGACGGTTATACATCTTGTGAAGGTAAACCATTTCTCCGTAAAACAAGTTACACAGATATAAAAGGTTCCACATGAGCTCCTGTGCAGCAGCGTGGCGGCAGTATCATACGGGATTGGCTTCGGGTGTGGATAAGTTAAGGCCTTGTTCGTTTCGTTGATTCAAGTTTTCAATTCGAGTTAAAAAGTGAATTTATTGAGAAAAAACCACTATAGCACAAATAGTTGAATTTAAATTTTTGTGAGAGAAAAAAACTTGAGTTGTGATTCGAACCAACGAAACAAACGAGGCCTAAAATCTGCTGTGGTCATGTGGATTCTGTTGTTTTATTCATAGTTGAGCTACTAAATATATTCAATAAACTCCTAACTATTTATAGTTTCGTCATAGCAATACTTTTTCCTTATTAGTTAGTCTTATTGATTCTATCACAGCTTGACAGTTTTAATTAATTTAATTTCACAATCTGTATGTATCACTCATTTTGATTTATGGAACATGCATTTTTACTATGAAGTGCTTCTTTCTTAATAGCTTTTGGGCCTGCGAGATGCGCAATGGACAACGGAGGGTGCTGGTCAGAAACTCGTCATGGATTAACTTTCTCAGCTTGCTCAGTTCAGTGATATTTATATGTTTCTTGCGCTTGTTTCGCGGATCTGTTGGTCGGACATACTTTTAGTAGGTTTTGTTTGTACTTTCATTTCATTAGATAATATTTAGAAAATTGTTCTTTTCAGGACTCTGACTTGACCGGTTGCCAATGCCCACAAGGCTTACGAGGGGATGGTTATAAGTGTGAAGGTGACCGAGCATTTCAATACAGCTCTTGTAGAGAATAATGTTGCTAAGGTCCTTTAGGTCTTATAAAATACATTTGCTCCTTTTGATTGTGCAATAGACATCGATGAATGCAAGGAACGTAGCGCTTGTCAATGCGATGGTTGCAGCTGTAAGAACACTTGGGGTGGATATGAGTGCAAGTGTAAGGGAGGCCTTCTCTATATGAAGGAGCAAGATACTTGTATCGGTAAGATGACACAGACAGTTATAGTACATTTTTCATTCTTATGCATGAATAAGTTTACTCACCATCTTCAATCACCTGTTACGCTTAGGCAGTGAGAATCTTTACTTGAGAGGGTGTAATTTCTATCCTGTCTTATGTCCGCTAATTATGCTTTTGCTAATTTAGATTCATTTTAGCTGTGTTATTAGCAAGAAGGATATGGAACTTTAATCAACTTGATTCTACATGTAGAGACCGTTAACACCTGTTTATAGCAAGTTAATGTGAGTTAAGCTGCTTAACTTAGAGACTAATTATACTCCTTCACAACTCCATTCTTGAAAAAAAATAAAAGAAAAAAGAGGTGAGTTTTACAAAGTTGGACTAGACTTATCTGATGACATGATAACAAATGTGAGCTCATTCAACTTCCCTATATCCCATTACAGATTAGTGCTTGTTCGAATACGTCTGAAACAACTTGCTTTTTATGCAGAGAGACGTGGATCGAGATTTGCGTGGCTCATAACTATTATGGTTCTTGCTTCGGTGGTTGGATTAGGTCTTGCCGGTTACATATTTTACAAGTACAGGCTTAGGGTAATGCCTCAAGATTCTCTATTGACTTAGTTTCCTATCAACCGTTAGTAAGTCTCTATATCAATCGAATGCATGCTAAACTTACTTATCTCCATTTGCAGTCGTACATGGACTCGGAGATCATGGCTATCATGTCACAGTACATGCCACTGGACAACAATCTCAACAGCCGAGTGCAGACTGCGGAAGCAGAACCATTACGACAAGGTTCCGTGTGAATTCATGAGGTAAAACTTGTCAGCTTGTTTCTCAGTGTTACTATAAAACTACAACGGTAGTGCATTCTCCTTTTTCATCGCCCCATTTATGGATTGTAATATTTTTCGAATGCATATGTTGGGCTTGGCTAAGTTTGATCTTGACCCGCATGTGAGCAGGCTTCGTAATTAGCTTTGGTCTAAATCCTAATTAGCTTGTTCGTTTGGATCAATTTGTAAAATTGACTATAATTTTTTTTTTCTTCCTTGTATCTGCAGAAATAAAAGAGGCCAATGGATTGAGAGCTGAAGAAGAACATCCATCCATTGTAGAGGAGAAACATAATATGGATGTGCATATGGTGGTTGTAGATACTTAAGAGATACAAACAACCATTTGATAGCTCTTGTGAAAACCAGAACCACTTTAGGAAATTCTCTCATGTGAGCTATCTATCTACAGGAACTTTCATAAGGGAACATTTTTTTTCTCTTTTTTTTTTCCTAGATAAATTACTCGAGATGTAAATGCTGATTTGAGGATTTAAAAAAAAAAAAAAATCGGTGTAGCTGGCAACACATAGCAGAATAAAAAAGGAATCAAGGAAGAATGGGGCTGTGAAAATTAAAGATATATAAGTCTTCCTGCAGTAAGCAAACACTACAAAATGTTGTTCACTATTTGTTGTAAAATAAATAAGAGGTCTTCTACAGTTCCGCAGTTTATATTTGGGTAAGCGCTTCCAAACTTTTTTTAAAGTAAATAAAGTAAATACACCAAACTTTTTTTTTTTTCATACAATTTTAGGATTTCTTTTGTGAAGGGAAATACAGAAACGTTTTGTTAGTATAGGATGCAACATTGCAATTTCCTCCGAAAATGTTGTTTGCTTACTTTATTGAATTTTTTATTATTATTTTTTTTGTTGCTTTCTGAGCAAATGTATTCCTAATTTTGCCCTACATTTTCTCAACTTGCAGAGGAAATGATCACCCCTTATATTCTCTCGTCTCAATTCTCATATTTCTTGAGTTCTACAGTACTCTCAATCCACAAATTTAATTTAATTTAATTTAATTGTAGCCGCAAAATATTCTTATTCACGCAAAGATGGACTGTCTTTTTCTTTCCCACTAATATAACTAAAAGATTGGCCGAAATACAGAGAAGACACAAAAGTTACTCTTTTTGTAAGGATTTATATATTCATCTAAAAGCAAGTAATATAACTACATATTTTGCTTCCAGAAAGGAACTAAAATGTGTAATGTAGTTGAGTTTTTCTCTGTGTTTGATCAATAGTGCATCAAGAAAACGCCTATATTCCTTTGCCTATATTTTCTCTACTTACTCTTATCCAAAAACTGCTTTTCTAATCTTCTTACTCATAAAAACACATTCATTTTTAGCTTTACAATAATATACTAATTTATATTAACCAAATACTTTCTTTCCTTCTAAAATCCTACTTTATAACTTAAATACTCACCTCTCCTTCATTTCATATTGACCTCATCACTACACTCACCACACCAACTAATCTTCTATCTCAAACCAACAATTGATCTTCAAAAATAGCCCATTAAAGCTCTGAACCCCTCCAAATAAAATAAAATGAACACCATTTTCATTATCTTCCTAATTCTCTCCTCTCACTTGATAATAAACTACAACCCCCAACTTTTAGTCTCATGTCAAAGCCGTAGTAAAATACCATTCGTCAGCAGGCAGTTAGGGTCATGGCATCTTTTGCAAGAAAGCATTGGCATTTCAGCCATGCACATGCAGCTCCTACGTAACACCAAGGTCGTCATCTATGATCGCACCGACTTCGGCCCTTCCAACCTCTCCCTCGGTGGCGGCCGGTGCCGGTTCGATCCTTTGGACACCGCCCTTCAGAATGATTGCACCGCTCACTCGGTCCTTTACGATCCAGTCCTCAACACTTTTCGACCTCTCATGCTCCAAACCGATTCTTGGTGCTCCTCGGGATCTGTTCTTCCGAACGGGACCCTAGTCCAAACCGGCGGTTTCAACGACGGCGATCATGTTATTCGCACATTTAGTCCTTGCATGGATGAAGAGAATTGTGATTGGATTGAGACTCCAAACTACTTGGCTCAACGAAGATGGTATTCTACCAATCAAATATTGCCTGATGGTCGGATAATTGTAGTCGGAGGAAGGCGGCAATTTAACTATGAATTCTTCCCCAGGAACCTGGGAGACCCTTCTCTTATGTGGCTCAATTTCCTAAGAGAAACTTCGGATTCCGATGAAAATAATCTGTACCCGTTTCTTCACTTGTTACCGGATGGAAACCTGTTCATCTTTGCCAACACGCGGTCCATATCATTCGATTACAATCAGAATCGTATTGTTAAGGAGTTTCCTCCGATTCCGGGTGGTGATCCTCGGAACTATCCGAGCTCAGGCTCCTCTGTTTTGCTTCCATTAGACGAGAACAAAGAATGTGTTGAGGCTGAGATCATGATCTGCGGGGGAGCACCACGCGGCGCGCATCGGCTGGCTTTGGAAGGAACCTTTGTGGAGGCCCTCAGCTCATGTGGGAGACTGATTGTCAGTTATAATGATCAAAATCCTAGTAATTGGGTTATGGAGGACATGCCCCTGCCTAGGGCTATGGGCGACATGGTAATTTTACCCTCAGGCGACGTGATCATAATCAACGGTGTCGGCCAAGGCACTGCCGGGTGGGAATTGGGGCGGGACCCAGTGATGGCACCCTTAATTTACTGCCCGAATGCGGAGCCGGGCCACCGCTTTACCCTCATGGAATCGTCGTCGCGGCCGAGGCTATACCATTCCACGGCGATTCTACTACCCGATGGGCAGGTTCTCGTCGGGGGTAGTAACCCTCACGTTTTCTACAACTTCACCGGCGTCGAGTACCCGACAGAATTGAGCCTCGAGGCATTCTCGCCACCGTACCTTTCGGCGGAGAACGGGCTAGTGCGACCCAAAATTCTAGCGGCCACCGGGGTTTTCGGTTATGGCCAGTTCTTCTCGGTGGTGTTCACGGTGCCCCTGTATAACGGGGCGGATGCGGTGTCATTTAGGCTGATAGCACCGTCGTTTACGACGCATTCTTTTGGGATGAGCCAAAGAATGGTAGTGATGAAGGTGGGTACGGTTTCGCAAGTAGCGCGATTCGCTTATAACGCAACCGTCATAGGCCCATGGACGGCGGAAATTGCGCCGCCGGGGTATTATATGCTATTTGTGGTGCACTGTGAGATACCTAGTTTTGGTGCGTGGGTGAAGCTGCAGTGAAGTACTGATGAGGTTATGCATGTACGGTTGTATAGTTGGTCTACTTCTTGTAATATTGTAGGTCGTTAACTCATAAGATATCTACTTTTTGCTAGTAAAAAAAAAAAAAATGTACCTTCTCCTAAACTTGTCAAGAAAATAAATAAATAAATAAATAAAAAGGACGAAACACATCACGATTAATAAAATTACAAAACAAGTGAGACTAATTAAGCCAGTTGGGTAACTGCTCGCATCGTATGCATTAAAATTGTGTGTGAGTGGATAACAATTTCTAACTCAAACCAACATAACATACATCAGGGGAAGTATTCATGCGTGATTATTCGCAAAATTAGTTCTATTTATTATAACTAAATTTGAATTAAACTAATTACGAAGATTAATCACATGATTAGGTATGAGAATTAATATTCATAAATTGTTTTGGATATTTCTAAAGTTTTTCGACTAAATTATAAATGTCTATATTCTTGTTTCTCTTTGCAATATTACTCAACATTTTATAAATTGCATAAGAAAAACTCAAAGATTGCTCCCCACATTTTAGATAGGGTACTGAAGATTCTTATTTGATTAAGAGCTAGTCGCTTCATTATTGTTTTTTGACTGCTAGTTGCTTTATTAATTTGATTAACTAAAATAATACTCCCCTTTGTTCGATTGCCATTTCTCATTATTGGTCACCTGCGAAGTGCAAATGTTGATATGCAAATCCCATTGGAAGGACTTAATGTCAGATAGTAAGTCTCTTTACAATGGAGCATATAATAGTCACACACACACACACACACACACACACACACATATATATATATATAGGAAGAGTTGAATGTTATCCTTTAAGGGCTCCATTCTTTTCCATGTTTGTATGAGTTCGATTTATTTCTACAAGACGAACGTTTTGTTTTCTATCTTCTTCTCTGTTTTTTTTTTCTTCTTTTTGGGGTCGATGCCTAAATTTTATTGTAATGTAGCTTAATAAATCCTTTAGTAGCCATGCTCCTCATGACAAGGTTAGTACTCCAACTTCCCAAGGTCTAGAAGTAATGGCCTCTGACACCTCCACTTTTCTCAGTTGAAACATTATTTGGATGCGAAATTTCATATTAAGGATCTTGCCAACCTCAAGTATGTTCTTGGCATTGAAGTGGCACGTTCTCCAACAGGAATTGCGTTGAGCCAACGGAAATATGTTCTTGACATTTTGACCGAGAGTGCAATCACTGGATGCAAACCGGTCACTTTTCCCATGGAACAACAACACAAAACTTTCGCCTTTCTCCTTTTTATGGTATCAGAGCAGGTTTCGAAACCTGCACTTTCTTTTCAACATGTCAGAGAATGATGGGAGAAACAAGAATATGGAGGAAATAGCAGATGATGGTACAAGTCAAAACAATGCTATTGATGTTGTTGGCAACGTTGTTGACGTAGTCCCTTCCAACAAAGCATATGAAGTTTCTTCATATTATTTGCACCCATCTGATCACCCAGGCTTGATTTTTGTCACACATCCCCTCAGTGAGAATGGAGACAATTATTTCATATGGAGGCGTAATTTTATGAATGCGTTCCAATCCAAAAACAAGGCTGGTTTTATGGATGGAACGATTGAAAAACCATATTTTGATTCTCCTGATTTGCAGCCGTGGATACAATGTAATGCAGTGGTTTTTTCATGGCTCACAAACGCACTTGCAAAGGAGCTTCAAGGCAGTGCAACACATGTTGAAACCGCAAGAGAAATATGGGAGGACTTGGAACAAAGATTCACGCAAGGAATTGCACCCAAAGTCTATGAATTAAGATGTGGAATAGCATTGTTACAACAAGAAAGATCTTCTATTTCGTCCTATTAAGGAAAATTGAAAACCATATGGGGCGAGCTACAGAGCCTTCATCTAGTTCCATCATGCAAATGTTGATACAAATGTGGTGCGGCGAAACAGATGCAATCCATGCGCGAGGAAGAAAAGGTCTTTGATTTCTTGATGGGCCTTGATGAAGTGTATTCCACGGTACAGTCACAGATACTGAGTGTTGACCCATTGCTGAATATTGGAAGGGCTTATGCCATTGCAGCATGAAAAGAGAAGCAACGAACTGTTGCAGCGACACGGGCACCCATCGTAGAAGGGATTGCCTTATTGGTTAGAGGAAATGAATCAGGCCAGAAAAGGAACGACGATAGGAGGCGTGGTCAATTTCCACCTTGTGTGCACTGTGGGAAAACTAACCATATCAAAGATTATTGTTATAGGGTGATTGGGTTTCCACCAAATTGGCGTAAACCAGTCAAAAATGGTAGAACTAAGACACCTGGAGAAACACGCAATCAGATTGAAGGCCATACCATCACAAGCACGTCCACTGGCGCAGCAACCGGCGCAACATTTGCAGCTACCGTGGATGGAAAAGGATCATCGATTCCGGGCTTGACCTCCGCGCAGCATCAGCAATTACTGGCTCTGTTAGGAAGCCGAGGAGCGTCGACAGGTGTTCCTTCTGCAAGCATGGCGGCGTCCAATTTTTCTGGTAAGCGAGGTGAAGAGTGGGTTGTAAACATAGGAGCAACAAATCATATAACCCACAATATAGATTTACTCTCAGACGTGAGGTTGAAACATAATCTACCACCTGTGTAGATTCCCAATGGAGCAACAGTAGAGGTCTATGCTTTAGGACAAATTGCACTTGGAAAAAGACTTGTCCTTGAGAAAGTCCTTAGAGTTCCCAATTTTTGTTTTAATTTATTGTCAGTTAGTAAATTGACGCATGATTTAAATTGCACAATGACCTTTTGGCCGGATTTTTTTGTGATACAGGACTTACCCTCGAGGAAGCCGATTGGAGTGGGTAAAGAGCGGAATGGTCTTTATTATTTAGAGCTGATGAGAGGGGAGAAGACGTTGACAGTCAACCATTCCATTAGTCTAAGTTTATGGCATCATCGCTTGGGACATCTACCAGTAAATCGCATTCCGTTAGTTCCTAATTTATCTATTTCTTTTGATTGTACGAAGACTATGTTTTGTGATGCTTGTTGTAAGGCAAAACAAACACGCTTATCTTTTCCTATAAGTATGAATAAGACCGTACGTGTTTTTGATTTAATACACTGTGACATCTGGGGTCCCTATAAAACAAAGTCTTTTTCAGGATCTCATTATTTTTTGACCATCGTAGATGATTTTAGTCGGGTAACATGGGTCTTTCTCTTGCAACACAAATCGGAAACCAGAGCATATTTATTGCAATTTTATAATTGGGTACACACATAATTTCAAACTCGAGTCAAGATTATGCGGACAGATAATGGGTTGGAATTTACTCACAGCGATTTAATAAATCATTACTTTGATTTTGGCATGGAACATCAATCTAGTTGTACGGATATGCCACAACAAAATGGAGTCGTTGAGCGTAAACATCGCCACCTTTTAGAAGTTGTGCGAGCATTGCGATTTCAGGCACATCTTCCGATCTCATTTTGGGGAGAGCGTATTCTTACTGTGTAATGACTGAGAAAATCCCAGACCTTAAATAATACAATTTATGTATTTAAGCCAAGGATTTTCTTAGACAAATATTACGTGACTGAAGGATTTATGAAATTAATATATGTATTCCTAAATTCTGTAGCAGATTTCATGTTAAGTTCATGTTTTCGATCAAGTAAATTCGATCGATAAATTCTCGTCGTACTTTAAGGCGGAATAATTTTCAGTACAAGTATAGTTTGAGAATCTTAATTTCAAGAATCTCCAAACACAGCATGATGTTAGCAGCGTATAAAAAAAATGCACTAACATTTTAAAAGAAGAGAAAGTCCTTAATTGCCAGACAGCTAGGTTAAAGTCAGAAGATAAATACCCATAGTAGAAGGGTACAATGTGAGCTCGGGATTTGACACCGTCAGAAACAGCGTCATTCCCGAGATTTAATGCAGAAAAGTTAAATTTAGAATTTATTCAGTCTAGAATTAATTTCAAGACTTGAAACAGTTTAAGATATTACGCGAGTGAGAATTTAATGTGATCCCTAAGTAGTCGGGAATTAATATTAAATTATAAATAAGCAGTTGAAAAGGAATTGTCAGAAACTAGAATTTCCTATCGGCTAAGTTACTTACCTACAGTCAGTATAATTTTTAGCAGTTTCAAGAGAAACTTAAGAGAGTGGACAAAAGTACAAGGGGTAGGATTTATTTTTCTCTCTCTCATTCTCCACTTGGCCGGCCATGTATAGTAGAAATAGAGCCAAAATTTGGCTAGTTGAGTGTGATAAAAGGTTACAAGTTATGGTGTGATGTGATGGTAGTGGTTGAAGGGGAATTAATGACAATTTTGCTTCTCATTTTCTCCTTCCATAACCGGCCAAGAAAGGGGAGAATTGAACCAAAATTTGGTTGATTGAAGGAGTTAATGTGATGTTAAAAAATTATTCCAAGTTGCCTATAAAAGGAACCATCATAGGATAAGCTTCATTTTTTTTCTCCTCTCCTTTTTCCCACATCAAAAATCCGGCCATACACACCATTTCCTCTCAAATATTTTCTCCCACTCTCTCAATCTTGAGCCACTATCACACCATAGAAGAAGAAGAAGGAGATCAAGGGATTCTAGGAGAAGACTAGTCATATCCCTCTAAGGGTAAAGAAACTCTAAATCCTCTCATTCTCATGTTTTAGTGAAGTTTAAAATGTAGAAATATTCCTCTTAAATTTCCTTATACTCTTATAGTTCCAAGCCATTAACAAACCTTGGAGAAGAAGAGAAGGATCTAAATGGCTCTCAAGAAAGAGTTCTTCAAGGGTAACTTCTTGAACTCTTTTCAATTATTTTCTAGCAAAGTTTAAGTTTGAGAATCCATTTATGTAAATTGTGATTCTCAAGGAAATAAGTTGTAATAAGGGTGTGTGAGTTTTATGTTAGTTTTGTGAGTTTTGAGGTTAGTTTGATGGGGTATGTTTATGCTTGATCTAAGTTGCTTATTTT